AAATCATTCCATGAGGCCAGTATTACCCTGATACCAAAGCAGAGAAAAACAAGAACAGGGGTGCTCGGGTGGCTCAGTCGATTTGGTGTCTGACTCTTGATCTCAGGTCTCCATCTCAGGATCGTGAATTCAAGCCCCACAGTGGGCTCTATTATGGGCGTGGAGCCTACTTCAACAACAACAAACGAGAACAAAAAATTCTAATTTTTCCAATGTAAGTATTGCTATTCAGACTGAATTTTCTTTTGACATCTATTTGCATGTTTCTCCACCCCCTTACTTTCAATCTGCAGGTGTCTTTAGGTCTAAAATGAGTCTTTTGGGGGTGCCTGGGTGGCTCAGTCGTTAATCATCTGCCTTCAGCTCAGGTCATGATCCCAGGGTCCTAGGATCGAGCCCCACATCGGGCTCCCTGCTCAGCGGGAAGCCTGCTTCTCCCTCTCCCACTCCCCCTGCTTGTGTTCCCTCTCTCGCTGTGTCTCTCTCTGTCAAATAAATAAAATCTTAAAAATAAAATAAAATGTTTAAAAAAAAATTTAAAATGAGTCTTTTGTAGGCTTAAAGCAAAATTGACAGGAGATGTTTTGTGCTGGTCTCAGCCTCTTGATAACCACTCTTGTTTCTGGACTGGCTCTTGTGATTCTTACTGTGACTGCAAGCAGGAAACTTTGAAAAACAACAAGTTTTATTATTCATAGGTCCTGGAGGGTGTACAGCACACCTGGGGCAACAGAGGTCATGGGTAGAGAAAGAGAAAGAGTGTGGGCCTGGGGTTCTGCGGTTTTGGGGGTATCTGAGGACAGGGGCCTGGGATTTCACAGGTTCACTCTTTATTGGTGAATTTAAAACGTAAGACTGGGAACTTAAAGCACAGGAAATGGTCAATTATCTAAATCTCCCAAGATCTCTAAAGCGGGGCGCCTGGGTGGCTCAGTCGTTAAGCGTCTGCCTTCGGCTTAGGTCATGATCCCAGGGTCCTGGGATCGAGCCCTGCATTGGGCTCCCTGCTTCGCGGGAAGCCTGCTTCTCCCTCTCCCACTCCCACTGCTTGTGTTCCTTCTCTCGCTGCCTCTCTCTGTCAAATAAATAAATAAAATCTTTAAAAAAAAAAAAAAGATCTCTAAAGCAAAGGAGCCTATTGCAGGAGTTGGTGGCCTGGCTCTTTATCTAGTCTTGTGGCTGACATTGTGGGTTTTTTTTTTTTTTTTTTTTTTTTAAGATTTTATTTATTTACTTGACAGCAAGTGAGAGAGATCACAAGCAGGGGGGCAGCAGGCAGAGGGAGAGGGAGAAGCAGTCCCCACGGAGCAGGGAGCCGGCACAAGGCTTGATCCCAGGACCCTGAGATCATGGCCTGAGCTGAAGGCAGCCGCCTAACTGACTGAGCCGCCCAGGTGCCCCTGGCATTGTGTTTTTCTGAGATAGCTGTCTTTGAGTGGATACCTCTTTGAAATGCATGTCTTGGCAATCAAAATTGAGGTCAGGCACTTGAATTACAAAAAAGAAAAAACAACTGTCAGGGCTTACACTATAGGAAGATTACAGAGATTTCCCATATACTCTTTGCCCCTTTACATGCTTAGCCTCTCCCATTATTATCATTATTCACCAGAATGGGTACATTTTTTAACCAAGGAAAAGTGTAACTTGACATACCGTGATTACCCAAGGTCCCTAGTGTACCTTAGCGTTCTCTATTGGTGTTGCATATTCTATAGGTTTAGACAAATGTGTAATGATATCTATCATTATAGTATTATACAGAGTATTTTCTCTCCCTAAAAATCCTCTCTGCTTTGCTTGGCATTTCTTTTTTTTTGGTACGCTTTTTAAATTTCATTTTATTTTGTTTTTTTTTTTAAAGATTTTATTTATTTATTTGACAGAGACACAGCGAGAGAGGGAACACAAGCAGGGGGAGTGGAAGAGGGAGAAACAGGCTTCCCACTGAGCAGGGCTCCATTCCAGGACCCTGGGATCATGATCTGAGCCGAAGGCAGACGCTTAACGACTGAGCCACCCAGGCACCCCTAAATTTCATTTTATTTTATCTAAATTCAATTAATTAACATATAGTGTATTATTAGTTTCAGAGGTAGAGTTTAGTGATTCATCAGTTGCATGTAAGACCCAGTGCTCATTACGTTAAGTGCCCTCTTTAATGCCCATCACCCAGTTACACCATCTCCCCTCCAGCAACCCTCAGTTTGTTTCCTAGAGTTGAGTCTCTTATGTTTGTCTCCTCTGACTTTGTCTTACTTTATTTTTCCCTCCTTTTCTCTATGATCCTCTGTGTTGTTTCTTAAATTACACATATGAATGAAATCATATAATTGTCTTTCTCTGATTGACTTATTTCACTTAAGATAATACCCTCTAGTTCCATCCACATCGTTGGAAATAGTAAGATTTCTTTTTTTTTTTTTTAAAGATTTTATTTATTTATTTGAGAGAGAGAGAGAATGAGAGAGAGCACATGAGAGTGGGGAGGGTCAGAGGGAGAAGCAGACTCCCTGCCTAGCAGGGAGCCCGATGCGGGACTCGATCCCGGGACTCCAGGATCATAACCTGAGCCGAAGGCAGTCGCTTAACCAACTGAGCCACCCAGGCGCCCCGATTTCATTTTTTTTTTTATGGCTAATATTCCATTTGTGTGTGTGTGTGTGTGTATGTGTATCTATCTATCTATCTATCTATATATATATATATACACACATATCTTTATTTGTTCATCTGTCAGTGGACATCTGGGCTCTTTCCATAGTTTGGCTATTGTGGACATTGTTGCTATAAACATTGGGGTCCGGTGCCCCTTTGGATCACTATGTTTGTATCCTTTGGATAAATACCTAGTAGTGCAATTGCTGGGTCGTGGGGTAGCTCTATTTTCAACTTTTTGAGGAACCTCCATACTGTTTTCCAGAGTGGCTGCACCAGCTTGCATTTCCACCAACAGTGTAGGAGGGTTCCCCTTTCTCCACATCCTCGCCAACATCTGTTGTTTCCTGACTTGTTAATTTTAGCCATTCTGACCGGTGTGAGGTGGTATCTCATTGAGGTTTTGATTTGTATTTCCCTGATGCCGAGTGATGTTGAACATTTTTTCATGTGTCTATTGGCCATTTGGATGTCTTCTTTGGAGAAACGTCTGTTCATATCTTCTTTTCATTTCTTGACTGGATTATTTGTTTTTTGGGTGTTGAGTTTGATAAGTTTTTTTTTTTTTAAAGATTTTATTTATTTATTTGACAGAGACATAGCGAGAGAGGGAACACAAGCAGGGGGAGTGGGAGAGGGAGAAGCAGGCTTCCCACGCAGCAGGGAGCCTGATGTGGGGCTGGATCCCAGGACCCTGGGACCACGACCTGAACCAAAGGCAGACGCCCAACGACTGAGCCACCCAGGTGCCCCGAGTTTGATAATTTCTTTATAGAGTCTGGATACTAGCCCTTTATCTGATGACGTTTACAAATATCTTCTCCCACTCAGTAGGCTGTCTTATGGTTTTGTCGACTGTTTCCTTTGCTATGCAAAACCTTTTTATCTTGATGAAGTCCTAATAGTTCATTTTTACTTTTGTTTCCCTCGCCTTTGAAGATGTGTCTAGCAAGAAGTTGCTGCAGTTGAGGTCAAAGAGGTTGCCGCTTGTGTTCTCCTCTAGGATTTTGATGGATTCCAGTCTCACATTTAGGTTTTTCATCCATTTCGAGGTTATTTTAGTGTATGGAGTAAGAAAATGGTCCAGTTTCATTCTTCATGTGGCTGTCCAGTTTTCCCAATACTATCTGTTGAAGATACCGTCTTTTTTATTTTATTTTTTAATTTTTTAAAGATTTTATTTATTTATTTGACAGAGGGAGAGAGAGAGAGTGCATAAGCAGGGGGAACAGCAGAGGGAGAAGAAGAAGCAGACTTCCCACTGGGGAGCAGGGAGCCTGATGCGGGGTTTGATTCCAGGACCCTGGGACCCTGACCTGAGCTGAAAGCAGACGCTTATCTGACTGAGCCACCCAGGCATCCCAAGACTGTCTTTTTTCCATTGGACATTCTTTCCTGCGTTGTTGAAATTAGTTGACCATAGAGTTGAGGGTCCATTTCTGGGTTCTCTATTCTTGGCATTTCTTTTTCATTCTTTCTTGGAATTTCCATCTTTCTCCTTACAGTGCCCATCTGTTCTTTCACATTGTCTGCTTTTTCCCTTAGAGGTCTTAGCATATTAATCATAGTTGTTTTAAATTACTGGTCTGATTATTCCAACAACCCTGCCATATCTGAGTCTGGTTCTGATGTTTGATTTGTGTTTTCAAGCTATGTTTTTTGCCTTTTAGTATGTCTTACAGTTTTTTGTTGAAAGCTGAATGTGATATACTGGGTAAAAGGAACTCTGATAAATAAACTTTTAGTTGTGAGGTGTGGGGGAGGTGAAGCATTTTATAATCATATGGGTAAGTCTTAGTCCTTTAGTGAGCCCTTGCTACCGGGCTGTGAACTTCAAAAGTGCTTCTCAGTCCTCGCACTACACTCCTTAAGTTGAATAATTGGTTAGAATGGGTTTTAGCTGGGTATGTCTCCTACCCCAGTTTGGTGAAGTGCTGATAAAACCCCAATAGATTAGGCTCTAGTAAAATAGTTTCTCTTGAGGGCAGACCTTGTTAAGAACAGAATGCTCCGTTGTATTTCCAAATGGTTCCTTTTCTTCTTATTTTGCTGGAAGCATGAGAGTTTTTTCTACTGATATTTACTGTGGGAACCTGATTGAGCTCCTGGAGGTAAAATTCATAGAAGTGTGGGGGATCTTTCTATGACTTTATTCCTCATCTTGATTTCACTGTGTTACAAAAAGATATATCACCCTGTAAAAATAGTGAACTCTGATTTTTGAACCAATGTCATCCCAAGTAGTTTTTTAAAAGTTAAACTGAAACAGAGGTATATTTGGTTGATATAAGGAATTTTATTGTAGCTGTCTGTGGTTTCTGTTTTTGTGTTTTTCTCTTCAGTACTTGGACCATGAGACTGTTTCAGCCACGTTCATCGATAGTAGTGGACAGTTTGTTTCCTCCCAGGTGACAGGAATTAGCCGGAATCCTTACTGTGGCTATGAGCATCAGACTCTGTCCAGCCGGGAGCGCGTGGAGGAGGACTCCTTGCTGGCTGCCTTACAGTGGCAGGTGCCTGATGTGGGTCCAGTCCCCTTTCTGAAGAGCACTGACCCTTCTTCCAGCTACTTTGTTATCTTGAACTCTGCAGCCTTCTTCAAGGTGGGAAGCCAGCTAGAAGTGCTGGTTCATGTACAGGATTTTCAAAGAAAGCCCAAGAAATATGGTGGAGACTACCTGCAGGCCAGAATCCACTCCCCAAAGCTGCAGGCAGGGGCTGTGGGCAGAGTGGTAGACTACCAGAATGGGTTTTACAAGGTCTTTTTTACTTTGCTCTGGCCGGGCAAAGTTAAAGTGTCCATATCTCTCGTCCACCCCACTGAAGGGATCAGAGTTCTTCAGCACCTACAAGAAGAGAAACCACACAGGGTCTATTTCAAGAGTCTGTTCCGTTCAGGAAGAATTTCTGAAACCACGGAGTGCAATGTGTGTCTTCCTGGCAGTCTGCCCCTGTGTAACTTTACAGATCTCTACACTGGAGAACCCTGGTTCTGCTTCAAACCAAAGAAGCTCCCTTGCAGTAGTAGAATTAACCATTTCAAAGGTGGATACCTGAAGGGCCTTCTAACGGCTGCAGAGAATGCTTTCTTCCAGAGGTACGTGCGTCTTGTTCAAGGGGGTATTTTAAGGGTCCTTTTCTACTGTTTTTTGTCCCAATTAGGAGACACCGTCCCATTTAGGAGACTTCCTTGTTTTGGTTATTTGCTTCATATATCTCTCTGAAGTTGGCCCAATTTGGGAGAGGTAGTGAATAAGAAAATAAATATTTATATTCTGTGAATAGTTTTTATTTATTTATTTTTCATTTTTTAGGTTCTTTTTATTTTTAAGTAATCGCTACACCGAATGTGGGGCTCGAACCCATAACCCAGAGATCAAGTTGCATGCTCCACTGACTAAGCCAGCCAGGTGCCTCCTTGTGAATAGTTTTTTTTTTTTTTAAAGATTTTATTTATTTATTCATGAGAGAGAGAGAGAGGCAGAGCGAGAAGCAGGCTCCCAAGGAGCAGAGAGCCCGATGCGGGACTCGATCCCAGGACCCTGGGATCATGACCTGAGCCGAAGGCAGACGCTTAACCATCTGAGCCACCCAGGCGCCCGTGAATAGTTTTTAAAAAGTGAAGCTAAGAGCTTATTCCAGTTCAAATTAAAGACCTTTTGCCCTTATGTTTTACTTTAGAACTACAGAGCATATCTATAGCTATGTAAAAAAGATCACTTATTCACAGAACAGATAAAAAAATCATCTAAGAACTAGAGGTCTTGTAGTCAGGCCAGTGGTTTAGCTTCATGTCTAATAAAATAAAAAAAAAATTTAAGTGGCATATTATCAGTTATTAAAATCATATAAACATGTATTGATAGAAAAAAGACTATGGCTATGACAACATTGCTGGGTTGATTTAATGATGAACACGGGAGGCCAGGAATACCACAGCAAACTATATTTTTAAAATTAATAGTTGTTGAAATTTTTGCTTTGCTGTGCACAAATTTCTGTTTTTGAACATAAGTGTAAAACTCTTTCAGCATAATGATCAAGATATGGAATAGTGTGCAGAATAGAATGTATGGGATCAGTTCGAATTAAAATGTTTTTGTCAACATCCCATGTAGTTCTGAAGTGAAATAGCATGCCTAAGGAAAAAAAGTTAGAAAGCCATATGGTCAAGAAGTCCAATTATTTGGAAGAATGTAAAAGTGTCTTTTATTTTTTAATGAAATAAATAACTTAAAAAATACTCGCTGGTAGAGAGGTAGTTTTGAGTACATCTAGGCAACCCCCCCAAAATTTTATGTTTTATGTCCACTCATTCCTCAATGGGGAAAAAGTGCCTACCATCAGGTATGTAGTCTACAGAAGCTTCTACAATAAAGCCCTTTGATTTTTCACTTCTCCTGGAGTCAGCTTTTGGTCCTACCAGTTTTAAATACACATTTGGTGGACTCATGCCAGGCTGCTAAAAGGCCGGCAGAGGGAGCACTACTCAAAGTATTTACTGTACTGTTCTTCAGTATACACAAAAAACTCAGTACACAAGGACTTTAGCTTTAGTTTTATCCTGGGTTCGATCTAAGACAAGCTATTTATCAGTGACGGTGAGCAGATTATTTCAGTTCTGTGTACTTTTTGCCAATGTGTGAAGACTGCTCAGTTACTCCCCTTTTAGAGTTGTGTTGTCAGTCCGCTTAGTGGCTTAGCAAAAAAAGAGGAAGCATAGCTTGTAACTTATTGAAATTCCATGTGGGAAAAAAGTGGGAAAAGGGCTAGAGAATTTGTAAAATTTAAGAATATTCCTGACACCAAATCCTACCATTAAAACCAGAAAACACCTATGAATCGTGAAGGATGAAACAATGTATGTCCCTGTCCTTACTTGCATATCCTGGATAAGGCTGGCTGATGGCATTTTGCAGTAGAATCACTTTGTAGTAGTAGAATCATTAAGAAACTCCACTTACCTGGAAGTTTGCTGGGAAAATAGTGTTTGAGGTCATTTTTGGAAACCAAACATTTGATAGTCCTGATACTGATTTTATTTTTTGCATTATTTTCTCTGTTAAAATTCTGACATTTTGCACCAGCTAACTGAAAAGAAAAAGCAAAGATTGGAAGTGATCTTTTGAGGTGTCCTTGAGTGTACCATTTTAAGTTCATGGCCTGCATATGTTAAGCTGATACCCATTTTTACCTTTTTCCCTTGGTGGCTCATAACATTGCTTAATTCAGGAAGGATTAAGAAACAGCCTTGGTCTTTTGTTCCCTAAATTACAGTTGGACAATTAAAGTGATCTAATCTTTAGTTCTTTACTCCTAACGAAAAAAAAAATGTTGGTTTTAGAAAGAACAACAGTACTTTGCTTAAAAGATCTTATTAATATAAAGGAAGGCCTTTTTTTTTTTTTTTAAAGATTTTATTTATTTTTTTGACAGAGAGAGACACAGCGAGAGAGGGAACACAAGCAGGGGGAGTGGGAGAGGGAGAAGCAGGCCTCCCGCGGAGCAGGGAGCCCAATGTGGGACTCGATCCCAGGACTCTGGGATCGTGACTTGAGCCAAAGGCAGATGCTTAACGACTGAGCCACCCAGGCGCCCCAGAAGAAGGCCTTTTGAAAGAGTGAGCTTCTCACCTGAAAAGCTTCCCATGTATTTTTAGCATAATTTAATATCTTTTTTCTTTCTAACTTTGTGTTTAAAAAAACCTTTCAAATCATTAGAAACACTGCAAGAATAATAAAAATGAACAAAAATGAATAAGTCTTTTAGATTTACCATTGTTACTGTTTTGCTACATTTGCTTTCTCTCTGTATGTGTGTTTATATATGTGTATGTCTATGTATAATTCCTCCCCCCTGACCATTGGAGATTAAGTTGCAGACATCATGGTGTTGCACCCCATGAGTATGCATCTCCTAGCACATGGACTTTCTCCAGTATGTAACCAGAGCATATTTACCACACTGGGGCATTTATCACTGATGCAATACTGTTATTTAATACACAGTCCATACTCAAGTTTCTCCAGTTGTCCGAGTAATGTCCCTTAAGGCTGTCTTTTTTATTTTATAAAGATATATTAATTTGAGAGAGAGAGAGAGTGAGAGCACGAAGCAGACAGAGAGGGAGAGAGAATCTTAAGCAAACTCCACACTCACACGGGGCTCAATCCCACCACCCTGAGCAAAAACCAAGAGTTAGAAACGCTCAACCAACTGCGCCACCGAGGCACCCCTGTTTATTTTTTTAAAAAGATTTACTTATTTATTTTAGTTTATTTTAACTAATCTAACCTATGACATATACAGTGTGTTTAGTTACCTCTTTAATCTCTTTTAATTTGGAAGAGGTTTCTAGCTTGTTTTTTACAACATTGAGAATTTGTGTCGGGCTCCGCGCTCAGCAGAGTCTGTTTGTCCCTCTCCCTCCCCCTCTGCCTCTCTGCTGCTCATGCTTTCTCTCTCTCTCTCTCTTTCTCTCAAATAAGCAAATAAATAAAGTATTTAAAAAAAAGTGTTTTAAAAAAAGAATTCTGATGTCACCATTTTGTAGGATGTCCCTTGGTTTGGATTTGCTGCTTTATTGTTTTTCCATGACCAAATTGAGGTTAAACATTTTTACAGGAAAATTACAAAGGGGAAATTTTCTTCTTTTCTTTACCTCAAGGCTCTCTCATGAAAGTGGTTTATTTATGCTGTTTTAGAAGTCGTGTCCTCTCTTAAATGCCACTTATTTAAGCTATTTTCTAATGTAGTGTCTGATACAGTTGAGCCTTGAAAACCATGGGCATGGACGGCGCCAACCACTTGCAGAGTCTGTCCGAAATCTGCTCTAACTTCTGACTCCCCAAAAACTGAACTATTAATATTGTGCTGTAGACCGGAACCCTTACAGTTAATTAACACATATTTTGTATGCTACATATGTTATGTACTGTATTCTTATAGTTAAGTAAGCTAGAGAAAAGAAAATCATAAGGAACAGAAAATACATTTACAGTACTGTACTGTATTGAAAAAAATCCTTGCACAAATGGACCTGCATAGTTCAAACCCATGTTGTTCAAGGATCAACTGTACTGCCTTCCTACTTTCCTTTTTTATTTCTCTCCCCCATTAGACTAGCAGTTCCATGAAGGAGATGCTGTGTGTTTGTATACTGTTAGATCCCTGACATCTAGGACAGTGCGAGGCACATGGTAGAAGTTTAAGAATTATTACTATTTTTTTTTTTAAGATTGATTTATTTGAGCGAGAGGGGAAGAGAGAGAGTGACCATGTTGGGTAGGAGGGGCAGAGGGAGAGGGAGAGAGAATCTTAAGCAGGCTCCGCGCTGAGCAGGGAGCTTGACTTGGGGCTCAGTCTCATGACCCTGAGATCATGACCTGAGCTAAAACTGGTCCAGACTGGTCTACCCAGGTGCCCCAAGAATTATTTATTTTCTTTTATTTTAATTCCAGGGAGCCTGGGTGGCTTAGTTGGTTAGGCGTCTGCCCTTTGGCTTAGGTCATGATCTCAGGGTCCTGGGATCGAGCCCCGCATTGGGCTCCCTGCTCAGTGGAGAGTCTCCTTCTCCATCTCCATCTGCCTGCAGCTCCCCCTGCTTGTGCTCTCTCTCTCTCTCTGTCAAATAAGATTAAAAAGAATCTGGGGGCACCTGGGTGGCTCAGATGGTTAAGCGTCTGCTTTCAGCTCAGGTCATGATCCCAGGGTCCTGGGATTGAGCCCCTCGTCGGGCTCCCTGCTTGGCGGGGAACCTGCTTCTCCCTCTCCCTCTACTGTTCCCCCTGCTTGTGCTCTCTCACTCTCTCTATCAAATAAATAAATAGAATCTTAAAAAAAAAATCTGGAAAGTTAGCATTTTATTTTGTTTGTTTTTGGTCTAAGCGTGGGAGGTAATTATTATAACCCAGTTTCTGGAATAGTTATAGCAAGTTTTCAGTACTTTCCCCTTGGACTCCACTCTCCCCCACTTTTTCACACAGCTCTCCATCAAATATTTTCCAAGCATGGACTCTAGTCCAGGGTCTGTGCTAAGTGCTGAAGACAAAAGGTGAGGGAGACACAATTTGTGTCTTTGAGGAGTATATGTTTGAGAAGGAGGCACTTCAGAGCCATGGTAATGATGAACAAAATACTACAAGAGCACATATCTGGGGACAAGTATCTTCAGTAGGGACTCCTCTCTGTTCTGGGCAAGGCCTGAGGAATCTGACATGTGACTTAATTCTACATGGATTTGTAGCTTGAAAATTAGATAGTGACATTCTCATCAGTGTGAGCCATTTTCTGAGTCCAAGGGGATTAAGTAATTCAGCCCAGAATTTGTCATTTTGGAGCTTATACTCTCAGTTCTAAGCAGTGAAAAATTTAAAACCTATTTAATTTTTATTTGCTTTATATATCTATATAACCTTATTATAAGAGACCTAGTTTATTAATTAATTGTGTTGATTAACATAAGGATATTTCATCTTAGGATTCTGTGACATCATACCTGTTTTTTTATTTGCAAATGAAGATACATATTAGAAAATAAATGTTCTTGAATCTAAGCTTGTACTCTCTTTATTCCTTCTAAAGTGGTGTTAATATCAAAATGCCAATCAACTCCAGTGGACCTGATTGGGTGACTGTGATTCCCAGGACAATAAAAGGTAAAAAGGAATGAGCTTGATGGTTTGTTGTTTTTCTTGCTAAATGGGTGAGGCTCTGTGGTTTCACTAATGTTATAAAAACTTTTTTCCTTCTTTTAATGTGCCATGGACATTAAATTAATATGTCATGGACATACTTCTGGGCATAACTGAAAATTCTAAAAGCCTTTTTGATTAAAATAAATCAGACCTTATGTGCATAATCTTGGGCTTTGCTATTTAGACTCATGTAAAAGTCGTCTTCCTCCTCCTGTCTCCTCTCTGGTTGGCTCCTTAGGAGCCTTCAGTGCTGTACCGTCCAATATGGTAGCTCCTAGCCACATGTGGCTATTTAAGTTAATTAAAATTAAATAAAGTGTAAAATGTAGTTCTTAAGTCACATACCCTCAGGGGCCACGTGTAGCTAGTCGCTGCCATGTTGGACAGTATTTTATATAAAATGTATCCATTATTGCAGTTCTGTCAGATATCGGTGCTCTAGAGATCCTCCAGAAATGTGTGTAAAGTTGTCATAGAAATTTTTGAAATCCGAAGCATTGGGTTAGTGAATGGCGTTTTTCTCAAAGTGTGATCTCTGCATTAGCAGCATTGGCCTTAGTGGGGACTTGCTGGAATTGCAGATTCTCAAGTCTTATCTCAGCCTACTGAATCAGACACTCTGGGGTGTGGGGCCCAGCAATCTGTGTTTCAACAAACCTTCTAGGCGATTTTGATCCATTGGTATAGGGTATCGTTAAAAGTAAGACAACAAAATTCTGAAGAGTAAATGTATACGTTCTGTTTTTGCAGAATAGATGTAAATAGCTATGGTGACTTTTAGGAAGAAAGGATGAATATTATTATTATTATTATTTTTTTTTTAAAGATTTTATTTATTTATTTGAGACAGAGAGAATGAGAGACAGAGAGCATGAGAGGGAGGAGGGTCAGAGGGAGAAGCAGACTCCCTGCCGAGCAGGGAGCCCGATGCGGGACTCGATCCAGGGACTCCAGGATCATGACCTGAGCCGAAGGCAGTCGCTTAACCAGCTGAGCCACCCAGGCGCCCCAAGGATGAATATTATTAAGGAAGCTTATGCAGATGGCAGGCAAGGTCCTTTTAGCTGTTGAAAACATGGATGTATAGTCTCCGACACAGATACTGCAAACACAGATGCCATCAGGCCTAGGTATATTATACCTATGAATGTAGTCAGGGTGGGTGTTAGTCACAGGCATGCCTTGTGTGATTGATGGGGAGGGAACTGGAGAGCAAGGACAGCCTCTCTGCGGTTCCTTCTGCTTTGTTGCTGTACAGAAATGTAGACACAGCGTGGCCAGATCTATAGGGTTTTTTTTCCATGAAAAAAAATCAGAAGTCTTAATCTTTAATCTTTAAATGTAGTATCTCCAGATTTCAAAACATTGGCATCCAATTGAAAACCTTTAAAATATTTTGTGGGCTACATAAAATTTGTCTGTGGCCCAGCAGCAGCCAGGACACTGTGAGCCTGGATCTCTGGTCCCTGCCATCATGTATCACAAGAAATCCCAATCTTTTCCTAATGAAAGGCTGTATTTGATTTACTTAAAGCCAGTGAGTTACTCATTTTAAAGGATTCATATATGAAACATCATTAATGGAAATACTTTTATTTGCCTGGGCTCCCCCCTCCATATTATCCCCCACAGTTCTGCACTCCTCACACTCTTTCGTGTCTGACCCTGTCCTACTGCCCTTCTCTGCCACAGTCCCAGCCTTCTGGCTTGCCTGCCTTGTCCCTGGGTATCTAGTGGGATTGTCAGTGGTTGGAGCTTTGGATAGTTTACCTGCACCTGACAGGCCTTGGTGTTAACCAAGAAGTTGTTGTGGGTTTGTGATGTACTGTTCTGTTTAGAGAGAAGACAGATTTAGTAACCAGTGAGACTTTTGATGGATTTTTATTTTTTATTCATTTATTTTAAAGAGTTTATTTATTTGAGAGAGAGAATCAGTGTTGGGAGGGACAGAGGGAGAGAGACAGGCAAACTTCTCGTTGAGCAGGGAGCCCCTTTTCTGGGCTGGATCCCAGGACCCTGAGATCATGACCTGAATCGAAGTCAGTCGCTTAACTCATTGAGCCACCCAGGCTCTGCTTGATGGATTTCTTTGTTTTTAGAAAGGAAATCTTTTTTTTTTTAAAGATTTTATTTATTTATTTGAGAGAGAGAATGAGAGAGAGAGAGCATGAGAGGGGGGAGGGTCAGAGGGAGAAGCAGACTCCCCGCCGAGCAGGGAGCCCGATGCGGGACTTGATCCAGGGACTCCAGAATCATGACCTGAGCCGAAGGCAGTCGCTCAACCAACTGAGCCACCCAGGCGCCCAAGGAAATCTTTTTAAAAAAATATTTTATTTATTTATTTGTCAGAGAGAGGTAGAGAGCACAAGCAGGGGGAGTGGCAGATAGAGGGAGAAGCGGGCTCCCCGCTGAGCAGGGAGCCTGATCCTAGGACCCTGGGATCATGACCTGAGCCGAAGGCAGACGCTTAACTGATTGAGCCACCTAGGTGTCCCATCCCCTTGATAGATTTTTAGAGGAAGAAATGAACCATGAATCAGTAGGAGCAGAATAGCCTGGCTTTGAGAAGACCGTCTCAAACAGGTACTTAATTGGAAAGAAAAGAGGAGGGCAATTGCTTTAAGAATATCAGAGACCCAGTTTAGGAGAGTTCACACTAGTGACCAGCAGGGTGCACTCAAAGACCCTAAACCATGGGCTCACATTCTTCTCTTCCTCCCTCCCTATCTTCCCTTCATTCCTTCCTTCCTCTTTTTTAACACTTTGTTTTCAGATAATTTTAGACTTACATATGAGTTACAGAAATAGTACAAAGTTCCTGTATAGCCTACACCCAGCTTCCCCTTATGCTGACATCTTATATAACCATGTAATACTTTCAAAACTAAGATTTTAACATCAGTATAATATTATTAACTACACTGTAGAGTTTATTTGGATTTCATCAGTTTTTCCACTCATGTTCTTTTTCTGTTCTTGAATCCAGTGCAGGATCCCACGTTGCATTTAGTCACCGTGTTTTCTTAGTCTTCCCTCTATGACATTATCTTCCATGACTTTTAAACTTTGAAGAGCGTTGGTCAGATATTTTTTAGAATGCTTCTAACTTTGGATTTGTCTAATGTTTTCTGATGATTGGAATGAGATCATGCATTTTTGGAAGAATAGCAAAGGGGAACATGATGCTGATATATATTGTTAATGATGTTAACTTTGATCGCTTGGTTCAAGTGGTGTCTGTCAGGGTTCTCTTCTCTTTATATTTATTCTGTATTCTGGACAGATAACTTTGAGACTGTGGTAGGCTGAATAATGGCCCCCAAAGATATCCAAATCTTAATCCCTCAAATTTGTGAATGTTGTTGTATATGGATGGCAAAGGAAACTTTGTATATGTGATTAAGTTAAGGATCTAGAGACGGGGAGAGATTATCTGGGTAATCTGAGTGGGCCCTAAATGCAACCACAAGTGTCCTTTTTAAGAGGGAGGCAGGGGGAGATTTCATACAGAAGCAGAAGGCAGTATGACAACGGAAGCAGAGAGAGACTTGAAGATGCTGTGCTGCTGGCTTAACACGTGGAGAAAGGGGCCATGAGCCAGAGGACACAGCTCTAGAAGAGGCGAGGAGACACATTGTTTCCTATCTCCTCCTGAGAGAGTATGGCCTTCCTGATACCTTGGTTTTCGCCCAGTGATACTGAATTTGGACTTCTAGCCTCCAAAACTGTAAGAGAATAAATCTGTGTTGTTTTAAGCCACCAAATATGTGGTAACTTGTTATAGTAGCCACAGGAAACTACTCTCCAGATGTCTCTATATTAAAACAGGATGTAAACATCCTGTTTCTGCCTACACTTTCACCCACTCATTTTTGCATTCATTAGTAGATCTTGCCAGCAGCAATTATTTCTGTGGCATGTAATTCTGATTTTTTAATCTCTCATTCCTAAGACATTTATTAATTGGAATTTTTCTGTAAGGAAGAGTTGTCCCTTTTTTCCTATTTATTTAATTATGTCATTATAGGCTTATGACTCATGATTGTTTATTTCATTCTTTGGGTTATTACCCAATTCAGTTGTTATTTATTTTGTTGCTGTAAGTGCTCCAGTTTTGGGAATTGGGAATTTTTTTGGTTTGGCTCCTGTGCCCCTTTGACATGCTGTCATCCTTTTTTTTTTTTTTTCTGTAAGCACTTCCTTACTTTCTAGCACCACAAGATATTTCAGGCCCATCTTGTATTTTCTTTGCCCTGGCCTTGGAAGGGTTTATAGTCTTTCCACTTTTATTATTTTAGTTATGAATCCTGTTTTTTATTATTATTATTATTTTTTAAAGATTTTATTTATTTATTTGAGACAGAGAGAATGAGAGACAGAGAGCATGAGAGGGAGGAGGGTCAGAGGGAGAAGCAGACTCCCCGCCGAGCAGGGAGCTCTATGCGGGACTCGATCCCGGGACTCCAGGATCATGAGCCGAAGGCAGTCGCTTAACCGACTGAGCCACCCAGGCGCCCATGAATCCTGTTTTTTGAAGGTTTTATTTTTCTTTATCAGTTTTTTGTATGTATTAGTTAACTGATTTTCCTGCAAGTTAAAATTATTCTAAGATGCGGGCGCCTGGGTGGCTCAGTTGGTTGAGTGACTGCCTTCGGCTCAGGTCATGATCCTGGACTCCCGGGATCGAGTCCCGCATTGGGCTCCCTGCTCGGCAGGGAGTCTGCTTCTCCCTCTGACCCTCCTCCCTTTCATGCTCTCTGTCTTTCATTCTCTCTCTCTCAGATAAATACAATCTTAAAAAAACAAAAAACCAAAAAAAAAATTATTCTAAGATGCATATTTAGTCTGCTGAATTGAGATTACCTGCCTCAGTGCATTTTTGGAAGCCAGTGGCTTCCCCCCAAGCATGGGTATAATTCCAGTCAAAAACAAGGAATCACAGGGACAAGGCTGGTTTCTGA